TAAGAAACACAAATCACAATTTTAGGAAAGCACAGACATTAGAAACCAAGAAGCATAAGGACAGAGAGAACTGGTAGGAAATACATTTCCTTTGCAATTAATCTTTAYGGAGCAGGTTATAAAAGAGGTTTATAAACCAGGTGAAAGTAAGATGCAAGCCAGTTATTCAGTAGAGAGGGCCTGAAATGAAACATCACCTATGCATGGCTCAGAATTAGAAAAGCCTTTTAACTGAGGCACATGGAAGACAGGGAGGTGATTCCAGAAAACCAGGGGCAAGTCTTGACTGGCCAACCTAGTGGTCATCTATGRCAGAGTGACCACATCAGTGGACAARGGAAGAGCTGTGGCTGTCACCTTTCTGGACTTCCRTAAGGCCTTTGACACCAATCCCACAACATCTTTCTCTTCAAATTGGATAAATTTGGATTTGACAGATAGACTATTTAGCTGAYAAGGAATTGGTTGAATGGCCATACCCAGAGGTCAATGGCTCAGTGTCCAGCTGGAGATGAGTGACAAGAGGTGTCCCTCAGGGGTCTGTACTGGGATCAATACCATTTGATACCTTCATCAATGACAGTGAGATCAACTGCAGTCTCAGCAGGTTTGCTGCCAACACCAAGCTGAGCAGTGTGGTTGACAAGTCTGAGGTTGGGATGGCATCCAGAGGGACCCAGATGAACTTGAGAAATGGGAACCTCATGACATTCAACAAGGCCAAGTGCAAGGTCCTGCACCAGGGTTGTGGCAAACCCCAGTACCAATCCAGGCTGGTGACAAAGGGATAGAAAGCCACCCCACAAAGGACTTAGCAGAACTGGTGGATGAAAAGCTGGACAGGACCTGGYAAAGTGCACTCACAGCCCAAGAGCCAACCATATCCTGAGCTGCATCAGAAGCAGCKTGGYCATCAGGTGAAGGGAGGTGATTCCACCCCTCTACTCTGCTCTGGTGAGACCCTACCTGCAGCACAGCATCCAGCTCTGAGGAGCTCAGCACAAGGCATGGAACTGTTGGAGCAGGTCCAGAGWAATGCCATGAAAATGGTAAGAGGAATGGAACATCTCCTGCTATGAGGAAATGCTGAGAGTTGGGATTGTTCAAGCTGGAGAAGAGAAGCCTCCACGGAAGTCTTAAAGTGACCTTTTAATACTTAAAGGAGGCTTGGAAGAAAGATGGGGACAGACTTTTTAGTAAGGCCTGCTCTAGAGGCTAAGAAATCTTAGAAGCACAATTCATACAACTCAGACTAGCCCTCCCTGCATCCCCACCCCTCCAGCTCTGAAAGGCGAGTTTCTTGCTAGGACAGACGTAGACAGTGACACACATTACACCATACCTATGGTCCATAAGGAGACAGATGTGACATAAAGACACTGTCAGGAATTCATTAGTCACCCCAATCACTCCCCTCTGCCATTCCAGCCAGAACATGTCTSCCCAGGACCTACCTGCACTGTGTGCATGCTGTTCGTGCTCTGGAGAAACTCGCCTTCCTCGCCAGCTCTAACGTCACCACAGTCCTCCAGCAAGCGCACCCGCATGCCAGGCACCAGGTGTGCCTGCAAGTACTCCACATAGTCACTGCTGTTGGCAAAGTCTGATGCTGTCAGGAAGGTACAGCCCTGCTTTTTCTGGKGATTGTGATTTGAAGACAACACAGGCTTTTGGACAGCAGCRYTGGCCGGRCTCTTGTGCTGGAAGATGGAGCGGGYGCCGCGATGCTGCAGCTCCYGTCGGGGCAGCGGCTCTGCCGTGTGCCCGTGGCTCCAGCCCATGGCGTGCACCAGCTCCGAGATGAGGCTGSCCATGGCCATGCTGAACTCAAACTCCTCCTTCACACGGCTCCTCTCCTCAGGGACAGGGCTCTCCTCTCCCAGCCCCACGCCGCCGCTCAGCTTGTCCAGGAGAGACGTCACGCACAGGTAGCGCTTCACCAGGAC